CAGACGTTCAGAGATATAACTATCTGCGATACTGTGGTCACTTTCCATGTAGCATCAATTATGCTAATGCTAGCTGCCACGTTCTCTCGTCCTGGCCACACCTCCGCTCTCTAACCCCCCCTCCCCCACCCACTTTGATGCATTTTTCAAATTTCGCTTTGGGGCGGAGTTATCTTTTCACAGGTGGGGGGGATACACTTTAATAAGAAAGAAATGATTCAGAAGATTTTATACTTTTACAGAAAGTTTCATAGAAAAATCTGCTGAACTGTAAAAATTATGTCGAGTTTGGTGATTAGTTTTGATATTTAATGATAAATTAGAATTAGTCATGATAAAAGAAACAAAACCTGCATGATATTTTCTCATACGGATTAATGTGTCCTTAAATAAAAAAACATGTGAGGAAAATTTAGACAAAAATCAAACAAAAGTGTTTTGTTTACATTGAGTACGTACCTGCATTTAAAGAATTACATTTTTAAAAAAATCTGGAAGATTGCAGTAAACTCTCAAACTCTGTTTCTTATATCATGACTAATTCTTATTTATCATTAATATCAAAACTAATCACAAATATTCTTTAAATGCAGGTACGTACTCAATGTAAACAAAACACTTTCGTTTGATTTTTGTCTCATTTTCCTTACAGATTTTTATTTAAGGACACATTAATCCGTTTGAGAAAACATTTTGCAGATTTTGTTTCTTATATCATGACTAATTCTTATTTATCATTAAATAATATCAAAACTAATCCCAAAAATTGACATAATTTTTTACACTTTTGCAGATTTTTTTCTATGAAACTTTAATTCTTATTAAGTATCTAGTAATTAGAACCTATAACATTAGAATAAAACTGAAAATACAAATGATTAAAGTGTTAAAACTAATCAGTTTGTTTGTTTATTATTATTACTTTTGCTGCCTAAATAATATCACATATTACTTTTTAATGATTGTTTTATAGCTATAATGTTACAATAACACTAAAAACTAAATYATTATTTGTCTCTGGTGACTTATAAATCACATTTAAGCTGCAGAAACTGTAATCGGTACAAGTTTAAAGTCTTTATTCACCCCACAGTTCACCTTTGTGTGTTTAATTTCATAATTTGCAATGAGCAGCTCTAATAATCCCATATTTTTACATTAAAAATTACAACTTTTTAACCCAGATTTAGTCATTTAGAACAGCTTCAGAGCTGCTTCTGTCATAAATGTTAATCTTGATGTGAATAACTGAGTCCTCACTGGGGTTGGGTTGTAGTAAAACYTCTGTCTGCTTCAGGATCTTCTCGGTCCAGGTCTTGGTGTTCTCAGCTCGGACCAACAGGTTCTCCAGGTGGGCATCCAGCTCCGTTTTCTCAGCCTGGCCGAGCTTTTCCTCTGTAAACTGACAAAAAACAAATATGCTGTGTGTTTAACCAAACTGGAGGGAGAGGAAATTAAAAACAAGATAACAGATCCGAGTCAAATTAGCTTTAGCTTAATTTGCCTACAGCTGATAGCACAGTTTAATGGTTTTACAGGCCCAGGTTAATGTGCAACAATTATAACTCTGTGCTGCTTTAAACGGAAAGCGAAAACATCACTTTTAGAAACCCAGTGAACAGCTAACACAGTGTGTAGCTTTAGCCTGAAGCGAAACGGGCTAACCAGCTAGCATGTAGCCGCTTTCCAACCGCGGCTAACGCTGCGAGCTAGCTTAGCAACAACTGGAAAACAGCTTCAACTTACTTGGACCGCGCGACTCAGGAAAGTACCGGCGTCAGCGGCTAGTCGTTTAACGTTAAAGTCCATGGCGCAGCGGTGAACAACAACTCCTAAAACACAAACCGGTTCGCCTCACACTAAAACTGTCATCCCTAAAGTCACTGAAGCAACTGTTTTTTTCCCCTCCGGAGTATGGGCTGAGGAGACAGAACCAGACTGTTGCACAATGGTCCAATGTGCTCCACCGACTCCACTTTGCTTGAAGCCCAGACTGAAGTTTCCACAGTCAGTTGTGATTTGGGGTGTCATGTCTTTTGCTGCTGTGGATTTGATCAAGTCTGCACGCCTCTTGCTCCTGACAAGCTTTATAGAGATGCTGATTTCATTTTCCAGGAGACTTGGAACCTGACCACACTGCCAATAGTACCAAAGGCTGGCTACGCCATATTCTAATTTGCTGAGACACTGAATTTAGTTTTTCATTATTTGTAATAATCATCTAAATGACAAGAAATAAAAGGCCTGAAGTCTTTCACTCTATGTGTAATGAATCTATATAAGAAGAAATTCACTTTCTGAACTGACTGATAAAAATATTAAACTTTTTTTAGATGCACTTGTGACCTGATGCATCTTTTCATAGTGATTTGTATAAATACAAAGAATTCCATACTAACCTGTTTTAAATAACACTATGAATGTGAACAGTACTAAAGAAATTTATTAGTCATTTAAATACTGATTTTAAAAGCGCCACACCATTTCATAGTTCATTGTTCTACGATCTACCATCTGAATGTCGCAGCAGAAATCAAGACTCATCAGACCAGGCAACTATTTTCCAATCATCTATTGTCTAATTTTGGTGAGCCTGTGTGAACTGTAGCCTCAGTTTCCTGTTCTTAGCTGACAGGAGTGGCACCAGGTGTGGTCTTCTGCTGCTGAAGCCCATCCTCCTCAAGGTTTGACATGTTGTGTGTTCAGAGATGATCTTCTGCMTACCTCCATTATATTTAGAGTGGTTATTTGAGTCACTGTTGCCTTTCTATCAGCTCGAACCAGTCTGGCTTTTCTCCTCTGACCTCTGGCATCAGCAAGGCATTTGCGCCCACAGAACTGCTGCTCACTGGATWTTTTCTCTTTTTCTGACCATTCTCTATAAACCCTAGAGATGGTTGTGGGTGAAAATCCCAGTAAATCAGTAGTTTGTGAAATACTCAGACCAGCCCGTCTGGCACAAACAACCATGCCACGTTCAAAGTCACTTAAATCACCTTTCTTCCCCATACTGATGCTCAGTTTGAACTACAGCAGATCATCTGGTCATGTCTACATGCCTAAATGCACTGAGTTGCTGCCGTGTGATTGGCTGATTCCACATTTGCGTTAATGAGCAGTTGGACAGGTGTACCTAATAAAGTGGCCAGTATATATATATATATGCTATGACCACATGGTCAACCAAAGAGGCTCTGATGTCATCACAAATTACTGTTCTTTGATTTCCTTGCCTTCGTCCTCCTCTTCCTCCTCTCACTCACTCTCACTAAAGCTAAAGTTGTGATAGCTGAATGTAAATCTGGTGTTTAGAGTTTTGAAACAGATCAGTGAAAACAGATTTTGTATGGAGCCAGCCGGCAGGATTAGTGTTGAACCCTGGTTGTGTGAAGAGAAGAGTTTAGTGTTAAATAAGATGGTTCTGCTCTCTGCTGGTTCTGATGATGATTACAACAAAGTGTCGACATGTCACCTTCTATTTTACTTTAGTACTGATGAGTCATGTACTGGTTAAGTATACAGCTGCAGCTCTTGTTGTTTCAGGTAACTTTGACCTGATTTCAGCATTTACAATGTCACAAATATGACATTACARTATGTTTATTTAAGCACAATTGCTGAAAACAACATGCAGGGTTTTAGTCTGCTTTTGTCACATTATGACTGGATTGTGTTGTAATTTTTCCTAGACAAATTGTAGTGCACTGGGTAAATACATACTTTTGGAAATTTTAGAAATGTAAGAATGTTGTATAATACATCCTAAAAATGTCAAATATTTGTTACTGCTGGAAAAAAATGGGGGGGGGGATTGGGGGGACACAAAAAATGGGGGTGACACGACTTCAGTAAAAGAACACTAATTTTCGTACAGTATAAATCAAAATTAAACTTAAAATTTAAATAAGGCTTAAAAATAAAAAGGCTTTAAACAAGGCTTGATTTATTTTTTCTTTGTGGTGTCCTTTGTTTTGACTTTTTCACTTTTACTGTACTTTTAAAAGCTTTGCATGTATTTGCATCTTCCACCACACACTTCATCTCTTGATTTATCTTGTTTATTTTTTAATAACAAAGATTTATAACTAATTGAAGTTGTTACTTTTTTCAGCTTGTCCCTTCTTCTGGGCCACAGCCTGCATTATGATTCCCAGAATTTAAAAACATTTTTAAAAATTAAAAACAGACTGACAGATTGCATATTTTTTCCCCAAAAGTAGGGTTCTGTCTTGTCCTGGCACAGAAAGCTCCATCCAGTCTGCTTCATTATAACCAACGAGTTGCATTGCTACTCTAGTGCTTCAAATGTTCTAAGACAAAGGTAAAAATTAAACACAAAGTGTAGTTATGCTTTTTGTCTAATTTAATATTAAAGGTATTTTTTCCCCTTTCAGTTTTATCATTGATTTTTTTTTCTAATATTTCCCTATGCCTTCTACTTTAATTTAATCTTTAGCATCTATCGGTGCTTCATCAATTAACCACCAAATACAAATAAAAGATATAGAAGACTAAGCGGTCTCACAAAGCTGTGAATGCATGACACAATGACTGCTGCATAGCCCTGGGAACTGACGAGTTCCTGCAGCGCTGCTGAAAGGCAACAGAGGCGATTGGGATGACTGGGATGGTTTCTGAAATGAAACCATTGTCATATTGCTGTGAGTACGACTGATGCTAAGGAAGTCGCCACCGGAGGGCTGGAATCTTTTCTGGCTCAGAACAGTTGAGGACATAATCAAGCAATTAAAATCCAATTTATTGCATTAGTGCACCTTGTAATTGCCTAGGAGCTTATTCATTTATTTCTTTTGTGTGTGTGTGTGTGTGTGTGTGTGTGTGTGTGTGTGTGTGTGT